GACGACATTGCGATCTACAGTGAGTCCTGGGAAGAACACCTAGTACATGTAGGGGTAGTACTGGACAAGATTCGGGCCGCTGGCCTGACATTGAAGCCAGAGAAGTGCCATTTAGGCATGGCTGAAGTGCAGTACCTGGGTCACAGAGTAGGGTGTGGGAGTCAGAGGCCAGAGCCAGCCAAGATAGAGGCAGTTGCCAACTGGCCCACACCTATCACCAAGACCCAGGTGTTAGCCTTCCTAGGGACAGCAGGGTACTATAGACGCTTCGTCCCCGACTACAGCTCTATTGCTAAACCCCTGACGGACTTGACCAAGAAAAATCTTCCTAAGCAGGTCCTGTGGTCTCCGGCTTGTGAAGCTGCGTTCCAAGCACTCAAACAAGCTCTTGTGAATGCCCCTGTCCTGGCTGCCCCAGTCCCTAACAAACGTTTTCTCGTCCATACAGATGCTTCCATGTATGGACTGGTGGCTGTGCTGAGCCAGGTCGGGGAAGATGGAGGAGAGCACCCTGTCGCATATCTCAGCAGAAAGCTGTTACCCAGGGAAGTGAGTTATGCGGCAGTGGAGAAGGAATGTTTGGCTCTGGTGTGGGCATTGAAGAAGCTAAGCCCGTATTTATATGGACAGGAATTTTCCCTTGTGACGGACCACAATCCCCTTGTCTGGCTTAACCGGGTCTCTGGAGACGATGGCAGACTGCTGAGGTGGAGTTTAGCACTACAGCCATATAACTTCACCATCACTTATCGACCCGGTAAGCAGAATGGGAACGCAGATGGATTGTCCAGGCAAACCAACATCCTCACCCCATCTTAGTCCGGTCATCCCCACGTTGACCCGCTAAAGGGTCAAGCCGGGTCTGCCGGAGTGTCCCACAAGGGGGGAGCCGTGTGACAGATTCATCTGCATTGTTGGTTCGTCTGTTTCCCTTTGTTCGCGGAATTGCCTGTTCATATACCCCCGTTCGTGTAATTTGCAAAATGCCGATTGAAACTACCGAACAAACGACCACCCAGGAGAGGAGTGTGCTGCTGGTTAACCTCTTGGCCCCAATTAGAACGTTGTGGTTAACCGCAGACACCTCTCCATTCCATTCGTACGGGTGGTCGTCGTTCGCATGTCGACCACGAGGCAGCGGCCATTTTGGGACATACGAACACCGAGCGGTGTTCGGTACAAACTGTATGGAACTAAAAGCGGACACTTAAACTACCGAACACCGCTGAAAAGCTGCTGCCTACCTTCCTTTTCGACAAGGCATGCGAACGTCGGTCGTTTGGGAGTTTTATTCATTCGTATGGACTTTTACCCCGACAGCCATCCCATGGAGTCATTCGTATACCGAAGGACTGGTGAAAGACTTTGACGCCATGGCGATTCGACTAGATACATCGGATCTGAGCGCTGTTTGGTGAAAACATGCCCTCAGATCCAGGCTGTCTGGGGATACGTTACACGAACCATATGCATTCGGTATTTCTGTCGTTATGTATTTTAATGTATTTTTGTTATTGTATTTCAAGATGGCGATTGTCTCTACCTTGAGAGATAATTAGGTTTCTTCCCAATTATCTCCGAGGTAGAGAAGACGGAATTATGGGCCAGATGGGAAGGGCTATTATTGAAGCCACTGCGATTGGCTACTGTCCAATATGTTTTACAGTCTTCCACAAGGTCCCCTCGGGGAGTGTCCACCTTGTGGAGACCTGCATAAATACCGGGCAGGTAGCCCCATTAAACAGAACTTCATTTGACCCTCAAGACGGAGCTTGGTCTCGTTTGTGGGGGAATTATTACTGGGACAGCGCTTTCGTTATTTCTAGCTGTGGAAGGCGTTCGACTGTTTGGCTGATCGGGAGTTGCCGTGTTCGTGGACTTCGTTCGGGAGTTTGGCGATCGGCTGGATTTAAACTGCATTTCTGGAGAAGGGGATTATTGCCTAAACGGCGGCTTCATCTACCCGACGGTACGTGTCGTAACAATCACATTCACTTACATTTTCAGAATCAGCATACTCCAAATACAAACATACGTAAAAATCATACAAATTGGTCCAGTGATTCAAAAGATAGATCGTAGTCCTTTGTGACAAAATGAAGCATGGCTTTTCTGCCCAAAACCAGTTCCACAGAGTCTTCTATCTTGGAGATAATTGGGAAGTAATCCAATTATCTCCAAGGAAAGAGGCAAAACTCCATTGAACACATGGCAGCAAAAGACAATAAAATACATAAAAATTTATAAAGTTACAACTGTTGCACAAAACATATACATTCTACCTATCCCCAGACAGCTTAGATCTGAGTGCACATTATTACCAGATGGCGCTCAGATCACATACATACAGTTCAATCACCATGGAGCCAAAGTCTTTCCCATAGTCTTTTGTTACACGAATAGGCTCCATGGCATGGCTATCTGGGGTAATGCTGTTCATATGGTTAAACTACCAAATGAACAGGCATCCGGTTAAATGACCGAATGCAGACGCAAGGAAGCTGACGGCTCAGCGGTGTTCGCGCAAATAAGTGTCCATTTCCAGTTCCATAGTTTGGGTGCTGAACACCGCTGGCCATTCGGGACTTTAAAATGGCCGCCGCCACGTGTTCGGCAAAAGAACAAAGGCCACCCAGCATTCGTCAATTAAGCTGCGGTTAACTGCAGCTTCTGGGAGGTAAATTGCCGACACACTCCCAATACAGGTGGTCCAGTCATTCGGTTGTTTGTTCGGTAGATTGAATCTACCGAACGCCGTGCAGAAAGGCACAAACAAGCCTTTTCTGCAGGGGAAAAGAAGGCTTTTTAACATGGGGCCATAGTCCAAGAGCAAAAGGCGAGCAACCAGGCTTCTCCAATGCTTCGTGGCGAGGTTGGTTTCGCCACAACCAGTTATTAAATCCAAGGGTTCACATACTTTTTCCACCTGCACTGTGAATGTTTGCATGGTGTTTTCAATAAAAACATGGCAACATTTAATTCTTTGTGTGTTATTAGTTTAAGCAGACTGTGATTGTCTATTGTTGTGACTTAGATGATGATCAGATCACATTTTACGACCAATTTGTGCAGAAATCCATATCATTCCAAAGGGTTCACATACGTTTTCTTGCAACTGTATATAATGCCAAAATACCAGAGTATTGCAGTATGCAATGATACCCTTTTTATTGGACTAACATAATATTTTAAAAACAAGGTAATAGGAGTAGGTGATGTGTAGAGTCCCACAAGGGGAAACCAACATCAGGAGAGCTCCACTGTATAAGAAATAAGGAATCAATCTAAGGATAAAAAGGGATATGCAAACAAAAAGTATAACTTGAATAAAAAGGAGATCTACTAAACGGTGCCCGGGGATCAATTGTCTGGAGTACTAGCTAGCATCTAAGTTCCAGTTCCCCTAGTGTCCGACTGACAGGAAGGTAGTGTAAACGAGGTTAGGGAGAGAGAAGAGGCACAGGGTCCCCAGAGAACAAGGGGCCAGGTAATCAGGTCTAAACACAGATGGAAAGCCTCACACAAAAAATAAATAAATCTCTCAATTCACCCTAAAAGTTACCTCGACACCGTGGTCTAACCACTAGTATCTACCTGAACCAACTCTCCCTACTAAAGTTATAAATAAACACCTAAAAATCAATAACCATAGTGGTAACAAAATTTAAAAAAGTGCTACCAAGTGCAGAGAGTAAAGAAAAAGAAAACGCTCAACGCACTTTTTTATTTTTGTATATGCATAATAATATGAATAATAATCGTTTTTTTGCATATGAATAATAATCGGTTTGAACAAGTGAAATTGCGCATGAGTGTGTTAAACCCACCTAACTTTTCATATAGATAATTACATTCATTAAGAACTATAAAAGATCGCCACTATGTAGTAAAAAAAGTGCTTTGTGCAATAAAAGTGATGTGTTAAAATCTTCGTGATCGAAAACTTCATCATCAAAATTAAAGTGACAATGCCTTATTTTTAATGGATCCACATTTAAGGACTTCCTACATATAAAGAGGTGGTTGTCCAATTTTCTTATAAAAAAAAATAAAAATATTTTTTTGTATGATTGTTCCCTTTAAAGGGACACTAAAGTCACCAAAACAACTTTAGCTTAATGAAGCAGTTTTGGTGTATAGATCATGTCCCTGCAGTCTCACTGCTCAATTCTCTGCCATTCAGGAGTTAAATCACTTTGTTTACGAACCCTAGTCACACCTCCCTGCATGTGACTTGCACAGCCTTCCTAAACACTTCCTGTAAAGAGTCATCTAAAGTTTATCCTTCCTTTATTGTTCTGTTTAATTTGGATTTTCTTATCCCCTGATATTTTAATTGCTTGCTAGACGCTGCAAGAGCCTCCTGTATGTGATTAAAGTTCAATTTACAGAGAAAGAGATACAATTGTTAAAGGTAAATTACATCTAATTGAAAGTGAAACCAGTTTTTTTTTCATGCTGGCTGTGTCAATCAGAGCCAGGGGAGATGTGACAAGGGCTGCACAAACAGAAACAAAGTACTTTAACTCCTAAATGGCAGTGAATTGAGCAGTAAAACCTGAGAGGCATGATCTATACACCAAAACTGCTTAGTTAAGCTAAAGTTGTTTAGGTGGCTATAGTGTTCTTTTAAAACTGAGCCTTTGGTCATAGATAATATTTAACCCCAGAGTTCACCTTCCATCTAAATAAAGAAGTATTTAGAAAGAATTAAACTTCAGACCCAATAAACCATACCTGAAGATTAAGGCTCAGGACACAGAAAAGAAGGGGAACATAGGTAGCATAGTTTTGCAATCACCAATATCTTTATCGCAGTTTCTTCAAAACAGGCAAGTTTGGAGTCTCTTAGGAGTGTGTGAGTGAGAAAATTCTATTCACAGAATTATTCAACACAGTATTCTAACCAAGAATAATCAGTAACCTCACAAAACACTTGAATGTTTTTTTATTGTATGCAATATAAAAACAAACATTTCATTAATTCATTTCCTGAGCATGTGTGATTCTCCAAAGGAAATATGTTGGAAAGAATGCTAAAATATCTTGTTAGTGCAGGAGTAATATCAGTTTCTAGGATCTATTGAAACCTGTAATAAGAAAATATTAAGCATTTAGGGAGATGTAAAACAACAGCAAAAAAGTCATTATGCACTAACCCAATACTACATGCACATTTAAATAACATGTTTTTAGTGCCCCAAAAATGGTGATTAAAGTGTAAGCTCTATTGCCAAGGCTACTTTAAGACAAAAAGCAATATCTATAATTAAATAGAAAGGGGTATTCCTATGAGTCCTTGCTCACTTGTTAACCTTGCTGTAAGCAGCTGTAGTGGTTATGGTGTCAGGAGTGCCCTGATGCCACCATTGTATGGAGTCAAACCATTTTCAAAATTATTTTTATGCACTAAAAGTCAGAAGTGATCATGTTGGTTGGAGAAATTAGATATATATATATTTTTTTAAATCATTTTAACTGCACTATATATCAAATCAGGAGTTTCATTAAAATCATTAGCTTTCATAAGTTTAATTATGGAATACATATATTTAAAAAAAAATTCCCTGACTCAAAAAACAGTAAATAACAATAATTAAGGTTGCATAAAGCATCACTTGCATAAGAATCTCACCTGCATATCATCCAGAATGTCTAGCTAATATAAAGTCACAAGTTTATCCTTCCGATGTTTCTTTGCAGGCAGTAATGATTTCCCTTCATCTGTCATTAAATAATAGGTACCTAGATGTGTAAATGAACCTATATTAGTATTTTTGTGCAGTGAGATATATATCTAAATATCATTGACTTTCTCTTTACAGTGTGCCCTTTACTGTCCTGATCTGTCAATATCCCATTAATGACATTAAAGAACAACGGTCACCTCGAACTATTTTTTTTATTGTTATAATCCTTTCATCAAGTTTTGAAAGAATGCATATATATTTTAATGAAGTATAAGTAAAAAAAAAAATTTAGAAAATTCCAGTCCTATCTTTATTATATGACATGATCCTTCAGCTATGTATATGCACCCTGGGTCAGACAGTGTTTGAAAACTGAAAGTTACAGGGTTATTGACTGAAGTCCAAATGGCCCCAAACCGAACGGGGCAAAACCATTCGGCTAGATAGAGAGTCTGCAAAATCCGGACATTGTTGATGAAATTCATTAATGTATAGACTTTTTAATTCAGGCTCTGAACAGGCCTGAATCTGGTCCGGAGTTTTGACTGTATAGAAAGAAAAATGAACATTGTGCCTTCGACTCTTGTATGACACAAATGGCTGCCGCCAGAACAGAAGTCCGGTGAACATTGTGACTCCGTTCATTCTCCTTTCCCGTGACCAGTGTCAGTATTTCCATGAAGTGGAATTCTTCTGATAAATAAGTAAGTTACATATCAGGCTTTAATGCAATATACCTTTGTCAAGCAAAATGCTCATCTTTACTGGTGGGTCTTGTGGTTTAACTTTCACCGACACATGAAAACATTTTTGTGCTTTTTTCCGTCTAGATTTGTCCTGGCATTTGCTGATTAGTTTGAATGTTCCATCTTTGTTCATTGTCCATTGATTGCTAATGATAGACTCAGGGTAATGCACAATTTTTTTGCCTTTATCGCGACTCCATGTAACCGCAGTGCATGTTGGGGGAAATACACCTTTAACCTCCGTTCTCAGCCATGTTTTACGATGCACTGTTTCATGGGTCACTTTGATAGTTGGAATCCCTGAAGACATAAAATAAACTAGTCATATAATATGATCCATAAGTTACAATTACATGTACTGCTTTTCCTTCGACAATGAAAAATAACACCCATATCTACATAAAGAGGACATTTTGATCATAATTAATTGCTTTACACAGTTGTGACTTTATTTAAAGTATTTCACACAAATGTTAAATTTGTTCTTTGTGTTATTCCGTAACAGGGAACCTAAGCAACAGACGCCAAAATCTCTTTAGGTCAGGAGGACATTTATAACCATAATAATTCTAGTAAAAAGAATAGTGGCTCATCATGTATATATAAGGAGTGAAGCATGTGGCACCTATGAGATCCAGAGAAAATGACATTCACAAATTCCTTATTAATTGAACCATTGCTTCGTATCCTCTGGCTATTAATATATATATTACTCTCCCAACCTATTGTATGTTGTGTTCTTACGCTAATATGGGTGTACCTCACCATTTTGTATGTAATGAGTTTATTCTGACCTGTGTCTTAGTGATGCAATAGAGAGTACTGCTTTCCTGTTTTCAACTGCAGAAATTTAGCTATAGTTAGTGAGGAGTTTGGACTTAGAAAACATGCTTTTGTGAACATTAAGAAAGTATAAAAACATACTATGGTATGATAGTATTGGAAATTAATGAAAAGTTCCTTCTAATTGCTCCAGATCCAAGGATTTCCCCCAGAACTGTTGAAATTACCCAAAGGGTCATATTTTATACCAAACTTACCGGTCACACACAGCTTTCCTGTCCTTTTCTCCAGTGGTCTATCAAGACTGGGATGTTCCACCTGGCAGATATATTCTGAGTATTCATCTTCAGCTATGGACACACTAACAATCAGATTTGCCGTACAGGTATAGGTCTGATCTTCCTCTCTGGTCACTTCCATTACAGGGATTTTGTATTTCTCACCGGGAGAAACAAATACCTGTTTATTCATTAAAGGGTCCACTTTTAACCACTTAACCTCCAGCTTATCAGGGAAATATCCAGAGATTTTACACTGAAGTGTGGCTTCTGTGCCATTTACCAAACTTGGTATGATGATGTCTCCCATTTTTGGGCACCGAGTTAACTCTGTGGCACAAAGTGATTGAATGAAAACAGATCATTAATGAAGAAGAAAAAATAGTATGCAAAAATCAGAGCTAAAGTGAGCGACCAATTATCTGAATAAGCTATAAGCTATTTTATGCTTCAGACTTACATGCAGTCACTAGACGAACATGACTAGACACAATCACACCCACACAAAGACACATACACTCACCAACATCAAGACATACCCACACTCCCCCACACACATATGAAGTCATTTACACACAAGACTTTCAGGTAAGGCTCAGTGGGCTTGTGAGCGGCTGGGTTGTACCGGGCTATTAGGTACAAAGATCTTTGAGGCCTATAAGAGGCCCAATGAAATTCTTAGTGGGGGCCAGGGCCAGTGAGAGGACCTCCCCTTTTTTGCATCACATCTTTGTTTTTGTCAAAACATGTTGGGTTTGCACAAAAACGTCTAAAATAAGAACAGTGCCATTACCTGTTGCAGAATCAGCCAATACATCAGGTTTTACTACAAAATAAAAACATTGATATTGCTTTACATTTGTAGCAAACATATTTTTTCATGTTACATGGCTACCATTTTTGATGGCATCAATTCATTAAATGTAGGGTCTGCCTGGGACAAAACGTAGACCCAAGCATATTAAAGAACCTTCCCCTCTCCTCCTACCTACCATGGCAGTGTGGATGAGCAGTAACATGATATAGCTCTGCAGGAAGAGATTTCCCTCAGGTCTTTACTCTGTTCCAGTGTGCAGGTTGTGTGTTACATAATAGGTTGCCTGACTGCATTGCACAATACAAACAAGAACACCACACAGGCCATGCCACTGAACTATCTCTTGTTGCTACAAACTGGTCAACATCAGATATAGTAATGAATGATAATGGGGCAGATAGGTAGATACTCTTATACCTCAGATAGCCGTCAGTCAGGGAACATTACGACCCATTAAGTGTTTGCTAAGTCTGCCTAAATGCCAGTCCATTCAAATTAAAACAATAATGGCCCTGCACACCTTCTGGGTAGTCAGCAATACTCTTTATTACCTCTTAGTACTTAGAAGACAATGTTTTTCCCACTTTGGTCTTTGACAAAAACAGTGTTTTCATAAAAATATTTTTTTTTCATCAGAGTAACCCTTTCTATTCTGGTCCACTCTCAAACTTAAAGGGACACTATAGGCACACAGACCACTTTAGCTCATTGAAGTGGTCTTGGCGCAGTGTCCCAGGTCCCTTAACCCAGCAAAGGTAATTATTGCAGTTTCTAATAAACTGCAATAATTTCCTTTGAGGATTAACTCCATCTGTAGTGGCTGTCTACCAGATGGGGACATGCATGAGAACATCCAGCATCACCCAAAAGCCCAATAGGAAAGCATTATACAATGCTTTCTATGGGGAAGTACTAATGCGAGAATGGGCATCGCCGCACATGCGCATTAGGTTTCGAATCAAGTAAGTGACAGAAGAGGTTCTTAACCCCTTCTGCAGCACAGAGGGAGGTGGCGGGGTTGCGACCGAGGTTGACACTCTAGGGATCTAGTGTTTTCCTGGCACTATAAATTCCCTTTTAAAAAAAACAGAGCTATAACTTACTGCTGTTCCAAAGCCGAGGCCATGTTTTTCAATCCTCCTTTGGTGACATCCACACCACTGAAGTGGGGGAATGTCAGAGAGGATGGGCTGATGGGAGAATATGAGCAGCAGCATGCTGAGCCAGCTGATGGCAGACATTCAATATGCACAGATTTAACTCTCTGGCATTAAAGGATTTGTTAAAACATAGTTTGGGTTTGCATGAAAAAAGCATCTAAAAAAGAAGAGAGTAACAGTCCCATTACCTGTTACAGACGCTTTCTTACTGGATAGATTGCCCAGGCCTTGCTCAATAAGATTTTCATCTAGTACTTGGGGTTTGGCTAGAAAATAAAAGCACGAAGTAAGTAGAAATCGCAACGGACAGCAAACCAAATTTTTTATTGGGCACAGCTAGAGCTGCTATCGGTTTTAATGCTAACAGTTCTTTGTACTAATAGACATACCCCTATTAAATATATCAAGCTCACATAATCCTTCTAGAGCTGGAAGCTGTTTGGTTGCAGACGGAGAATGGTGGTCGCTGTCTATTCTGCCTTACCATAATACCTCCAAGTCACCTTCTGTGACAAATGTGTCAGCAATACTATAGTAACACATCAGCCCAATACGTACAATAGAACCAAAGGAAAACATATTTTCTTTAGTTTTTTTTATTTTATGTAAGATCTACCAAGATGCAATTCTTTAAAAATTCTCTCATCCATGGTAAGGTTCAGTAATCTTTTTACCATAGTTCATGAAAATTGTACAGATCTCATATAGTGTGGCCTTGTGTATATCTTCTGATTGTGTTGAAATTTTAATACAAGATATAAAAGTTTTCAATCTGTACTATACCCACTCTGCTTTTAGCATTTATTGCCAAAACACTTTCCAGAACCCTGAAGTAAACATCATCATTATTCATTCCACTTAGATGTTTACTGCCACTTCAATTATTACGGTCACTGTGATTATTCTTGTTGAAACATAGGTTGGATTTGCTAGAAAACCATCTAAAAACGAACAATCCCATTACCTGTTACAGACGCTTTCTTACTGGATAGATCACCCAGGCCTTGCTCAATAAGATTTTCATCTAATACCTGGGGCTTGGCTATAAAATAAAAGCACAAAATAAGTAGAAATCGCAACAGGCAGCAAACCAAAATGTTTGGCACGGCTAGAGCTGCTATCAGTTTTAATGCTAACAATTCTTTGTACATCGTTAACCACAGATCTGCACAACAGTCAGGCCATGAGACTTGCTTTTCCCACAAAAATCTCAAATTTGCAGAGATGTTACCATCGCAAGGGTTTCTGGGTGGGCATATGCAAATAGTGAAATCATTTGCATATGCCCATCCAGAATGCCTTGCGGTAGTAACATCACTGCAAATTTGAGAATTATGTGGGAAAAGCAAGTCTTATGTCTTGATTGGTGCGCTGATCTGTGTTTAACAATGTATTGACTACCCACTGACTTTAGGTTGAAGGGTTTTTCAATCACTTTTTTTTTCCACCATAATTGTGTTGGTTTGAGTTCTTTGTACTAATAGACATATCCCAATGAAATATGAGCATCAAGCTCATATAACCCTTCTAGAACTGGAAGCTGTTTGGTTCCAGACAGAGATTGGTGGCCCAGATTGATTCTGCCTTACCATAATACTGCCAAGTCACCTCCTGTGACAAAAGCAATCGGGACAAAACTTGGGGTGCTTTATACAGAACATAACAGTATTTTCTCCCTTCCCTGAGAATATTTGATATTTTTGCTGTTATTGATTACTTGCTGTTTGATTCTGGTAATCTTATCAATACAATAGTTTGAATATGGCGGATTTACTTTGCATTATATTTGTATATGCCGGTTTTATACATATGACGTTCGTAATTTTCTTCATGACCTATTTTCGCTTTTGTTGTTTTTGCTTCATATTTATATATTTTTTATATATAAATATTTACTTTATAAGTAAATGTATGTTTTGCTTGCTTTGAGTCCTCCGATACTATAATAATTTGGGTTTGTTTGGTTTTGGTGTTCTGGGATTGAATACTGTTTCTTTGGTTCTGCCTATTGTGTTCTTGAAATTATCTCTGAGCGGGAAGCCTTATCATTCTAGTTTTCCTTATACATAGTGAAGGGCAACACATGAAAAGTGCTTCCCTGTGGTATGTAGAATCCGGAAACAGCTGTATGAAATTAAGTAATTAGTCCTTGAGAAATCATGCATCATAAAGATTATGCGTACTGCAGGGCAGCAGTTTTCTTGTGTTTCCATTAACACGAAGAAAGGATATTTGTCAGGGAAAATACGGTGGATATGGCAACCTATCTTTGAGTGTAATCCTATGTTTTCTAATTGGCCGCAAGCTATTGTGTCACCAGTATCTCAATCTTTATTGTAAATACCAAATGTGCGGGAGGTCTATCCATCTGAGACTAACTTTCCCCAAATGTTCAAGGAATTTACATAGACTGTTACGCATATTATTATGATATTTATAGAGCGCCGTCAAATTCCGCAGCGCTTTACAATGGGTGGACGAACAGACATGTATTTGTAACCAGACAAGTTGGACACACAGGAACAGAGGGGTTGAGGGCCCTGCTCAATGAGCTTACATGCTAGAGGGAGTGGGGTAAAATGACACAAAAAGGTAAGGATAGTATTAGACTAATGACAGCATATTCTTCAAATGTCATCTCAGTTGTTTGTTTTTTCATTGTGTAGATTTGGTTATTGTCAAAAACCAAACAAACAAAAAACTGGCTAGGGTTATTTATAGGATTATGATGTGTCTGAAAGTTAAAGCTGGTAACAATAACCAACTATGGTTTTGTTCAAATATTGTGGTCTAAAATGTGAAATTCACTTTAAATTCACAGTGAATTCTTACCGATTCACAATCTGATAAATAATCATTTGTGTCCTGAGTGACATGTTCCCATTGAATTACAGAATAATTCTTACTTCTTTGTATGAAACACTAAACTCATGAAAAATAATTTGCATACCTATTCTTCTGTAGATAAAAACAGAAATTGTGACAATCATCAGGAGTGCACATATCAGTGAAAACACCAAACTGGTGATAAAGAATGTTTTCATGAGACCTGTAAATAGAAAACAGTTAGCAGACCATGAGTCATTTTAATCTAGAACAGAATGTAACCTTTCTAGACTTTACAGTTGTGTGCATTGGAATATTGTTCTTACCTAATCTTCCCACTATGTAAGCTTTAATATAATCACTATGTAGAGACGAATGCTCCACCTGGCACTCAATGATCACGTACTCATCATTCGCATTCGGGGTGACATTCACTGAGCTGATAACGCTGTATGTGCCATCTGCATTCCTCTTTTTGTCCACATGTGCGTTAAGCAGAGGAATCCCATTCTTGAACCAGGTCATGTTCATTTCCTCTGGGTAGAAGCCAGTAACCCAGCAGTACACCTGATTGAGCATGTTCCATTTCAGTGAGATATTGGATATTTTGATAGTAGGAGAAGCTGTGAGAAAATATAATCATTGAACTATTTAAAGTATTAGCCCATGTGTGCTTAGTTTGACACTCACAGTGCCTTACTACCGAGATAATCAACCGTGGGTCATTCACTGGGTCCTCCACTGCAGATAGTAACTGTAATGTCATTGGACCTAGAGTAGTCAAAACTTCTGAAGGTAAAAACTATTGTCAGATATTTATTTTAAAGAATAAAATCCACAACCAGGTACTAGTATATTATAAGTATTGTATATATAAGTATTTTTACCTTCAATACATAGATCAATTTTGGCCTTTCCATTGTCTTTGCCATAAAACACATCACACGTGTATCCTCCTTGATCAGCAATGGTCACATTATGTAAAAACAGAGTAAAAATTCCTTCTTTGGCAGTCTGCAAGTGCATCGTCGCCGTTTGGTTAGAAGCCACTTCTTTATCCAGATTGTTTTTTGCCAAAAGTATTTTTTCTCCGAAAAACCATTTAACAGAAAGTAAATCGAGATTCACTTTTTGGCCATCAATCTGAAATCTGCAAGTGATTTCCACAGTAGAGTTGATAGAGGCTACTATAGGGCAACTGGGACCAATGACTTTTAGCCCTGAACCTGCAAAGAACAGAGATATGTTACAAGCACTGCCATCGACCTGCTATGTTTGTTGCAAAACCTTTTTTTAACATTTAATAGTATTTTTTGAGGTGTCTTTAACTGTTCAAGGTTCACATTGATGTTTCACCTCGAAAGGTTAAATATACAGTACAACTGCACCAAAACCACTTCATTGAGATAGGTCACTAAACTATCCACAGACTGTGATACACAGATGATGTAATTATATGAATACAGATTATATATATTATTTTCTCATCACAAGGCAAATATTGTAGCTTCTTTTAAAATATAATCCCAATCAAGTAGTGCCAGACACTTGCGTGAAAGAGCTGCCTCCAACAACAATAATAGGGTCAGACCTGGCTTGTCTCCCATTTCAACTGCTGTGGACAACAACTCCCAACAAGCCCAGCAAGACGCACTGATAAAGGTTGAGCATCCCAGGGGCTGGCAGGACAGATATAAGAAGAGGAAGTTAGAACATAAACAAAAATGAGAAAACAGGAGAGAAAGGGAGAAAAAAAAACAGAGAAAGAATGAAAGAAAAATAGAGAGAAAAATCGCATTAGTAAAACAGAACTGAGTTCCTTACATTTCAGAGGCAGTGACAGAATAATGATCAGTACATGGAGATCCATCTGCGCTGACTGAGCAGAAACGTTGACAATCTAAGACTGGTCTCCGATTATTATACTGTATCCAGTAAATGGGTTCCAAGTGTGACAGTGTTTTCCGAATAAGGGATCTATCACACCTGATTTATCACTATATTAGAATTCACTGTATACAAGCAGCTATCACTGTATCACTGAGTTTCTAACTGTGGTCCAGATTTCTCATGTGTACACATTGATGTCACATTGTTTGTGATGTCACATGGCTACAGCAAGGCCATCCAATGGCAATCACTTTCCCCAAGATTCCTAGCTCAACTTAAAGGAAACTCCAGAACAAACTCCCAAAATGGCTTATGAGCTAAAACTCAAAGGTTGAACCCTTCAAAGGTAACATTTTGAATTTCCCAACATTAATGACTGATACTATGTTGACATTTTACAAAATCTTTGTTCAACAATTTCACACTTTTTATCAGGTGCACCCACACATATTATACATTGTGTTATAAAGGATAGATAAGGATATCCTTTACCGGCATATACATTAGACAATATTAAGGGTTAATAAACAATTTTGGGGGGAAAATCAAAACTAAACAGCTTAATGAAGTGGTCTGGGTGCCAGGTCCTTCTAGGGTTAACCCATTATTTTATAAACATAGCAGTTTGAGAGAAACTGCTATGTTTATGAATGGGTTAAGCCTTCCCCCAAAGCCTCTAGCGCAGGGGTTCTCAACCCAATCCTCAAGACCCCCTACCAGTCCAGGATTTAGGGATTACCTGTGTCTAAGGTGTTTAGAAAAAAAAAAAACACCTTAGATACACACAGGTAATCCCTAAATCCTGGACTGATAGGGGGTCCTTGAGGACTGGGTTGAGAACCTCTGCTCTAGCGGCTGTCTCATTGACAGCCGCTAGAGGCGCTTGCGTGCTTCTCACTGTGAAAATCACAGTGAGAGCACGCAAGCGTCCACAGGAAAGCATTGATAATGCTTTCCTATGCGACCGGCTGAATGCGCGCGCAAGAGAGGAGGAGGATCGGAGGAGGAGAGCATTATTATTATTATTATTATTTTTATAGTGACAGCAAATTCCATAGCGCTGTACAATGGATAAATATTTATGAAAACAATGGGTCATTCTGAAGAGTGCAGTTAATTCAAGCATGGTACTGTAAAAGGGTACCATCTGTGCAATAAGTTAGTTCATGAAATGTAATTTCTGCTAAATATTCTATTGCTCAGTGCACTAAGCAAAGTCCTAAAGACATGGTTGAATGAGTTAGGTGTGGAAGAACTTGACAGGCCTGCACGGAGTCCTGACCTCAACTCAATCAACACTTTTGGAGTGAACTTGAATGCGAGCCAGGTCTTCTCGTCAAACATCAGTTCCTGCCTTACAAATGCTCTACTGAATTAATGTGCTACTTGCAAATCACACAGGCCGCCCCACTAATGGTGGACGATGCAAAAAATGCTGTATCAATGATGGTCCTAGTGCCATGAGCCTACTGTACTCTGTGAGGATAATTTCCCTGGTGACCCCAAAAGCGGGACACCGGATAATAAACCCTGGATGGCGGGCAGGACCCTGAAATAGGTATTGTCCCACCTAAATCAGGACTTTAGGGAGGTCTAGAATCTATAGGAATCTTATTTGAGACATGGAAACAATCTCTAAAGACACATCTAAAATAAAGATAAAACCTCTATTTGAGCCCCCACTCCATTTCAGTTTCCACATATCTCTCCAATTTGAAATTATCATTATTTCCTGACTGTGTCTCCAACACACTTTCAGTCACTAAACTACCTATATAGTGCAATACACAGATAATGTAATTGTGTAAATACAGATAATTGTTTTCTTCTTGTCCCAAGGCGAATGTTGGCATTCCTGTGAATAACCCCAATCAAGCAGAGCTGTCTTCAACAGTATTTATAGGGTCAGACCTTGTTAGACTCCTATTTCAACTGCTGTGGACAACAACTCCGAACAAGCTCAGCAAGACACTTGATAAACATGATAGAGGTTGAATATCTCAGGGGCTGGCAAGACAGATATAGGAAGAGAAGTGAGAAAATAAACACAGATAAGAAACACAGGAGAGAAATGGAGAAAAAAAACTGAGAAAGAAAGAATTACAGCGGAAGAGAGAAAATACAGAAATAGAGAGAAAACTGCACTAGTAAAACAGAGCTAAGCTCCTTACATTTCAGAGGCAGTAACAGAATAATGATCAGTACATGGATATCCATCTGCGCTGACTGAGCAGAAATGCTGACAATCTAAGACTGGTCTCCGATTATTATACTGTATCCAGTAAATGTGTTCCAAGTGTGACAGTGTTTTCCGAATAAGGGATCTGTCACACCTGATTTATCACTATATTAGAATTCACCGTATACAAGCAGCTATCACTGTATCACTGAGTTTCTAACTGTGGCCCAGATTTCTCATGTGTACACATTGATGTCACATTGCTACAGCAAGGCCACCCAGTGGAAATCACTTTTCCCAAGATTCCTATCTCAACTTAAAGGAAACTTCACAAAATGACTTATGTACTTAAGCTCAGAAGGCAAACCCTTCACAGCTGAAGCTTTTGAATTTCCCAACATTATTGACTGATGGAATTTTACTAACTCTTTGTTCAACAATTTCACAATTTTTATCAGGTGCATCAGGTGCATGAATTGATATTGAAAAAAAAAAAAAAAAAGATATTGGCTTTCCAAAATCGAGTACAAACATTTTTAATTTGATGTATTTTACAATATAAAATTTAGTCCTTAAAGCCTCATTTACCCTAATTTATAGTAGAAATGGTTACCAGCTCGTAGAGGAACACAATCCTCTGCCAGAAGCCAGTAGACACTGATAAAATGCCTGCATGCTTCTTGAAAATTTAACCTGCTTTCAAACAGAATAGAAAGTTTGAATGGGTCATATCATTTCTGTAGTCCGGGAGGGAGAGGAGTGAATGGACTCTACCATGTCACCGTAAACATTACATTAGAAGTCCAGAGATTGATAGAGAAGGATATATCATTTTTTCTAAATAACTTAATTGAAAAAATATATAATGTGGGCATTATGCATAAATGCAGACATTATTATATTTTGTTGCCATTTTTAGCAAGCAGCAGTGTTAGTAAAGCATTCAAGGTCCTGGTAAATATCTATAAGGAAGGAATTTGACCATTTTTATTTATATATATATATATTTGCGCTACTACTCTATGTGAGAAAAAAAAAAATTCATTCCCAAATACATTTTTTTTTATAAATGATGAACAAATAAGTGATAAATAAAAATGGTGTAAATTTACATAATTTACATTTTTACGTTTATTTAAAAAGCAATTTATACACAAAATTGCCGTGTTATGACATGTTTATATGCTAGCTTTGCATCCATTACTTCATAGAAATGTTATGTTAATATTTTTTTCACTCAAACAGTGCTCCGTAGTGAAGGTGTTAATGCTCCACAGCCATATGTTAGACAACATTAAGAATGGATTGGAAATTTTTAAATATAAAAATACTCAGCTACACTCAAAAGTCAGTTTATAGATCTGTAATATTTACTATCATGTGTTGCAGACTGGTGTAACTAAGCTCATACAGCAGATATGTATAACTAGCAGAGAGTAATATAAGGCCAGGGGCTAACGAAAGTATTTAGAAAACTGGGCAGACTAGATCTATCTCCAGACACATTCTATTTTTCTGTGTAATAAAAACAGGAGTCGGGAGATCCCCAATCTATTTGGTCCTAAAGGGTTTCTTAGTTGAATAGGGATACCTAGCCAATGGAGGCGGGTTATGATGATGTATTAGAGGTTAACCTGAAGGCAAAGTATTGGTAGCTGAGTAATAATCGGAACATAAATAACAAGTTTTTAAGCAACTGCGCTACTTGGCCACCTGATATATAATCAAAATAAAGACAATAATGTGTGTCCAAAAATGTTGTTGTTTGACCACCTAAGAAAAGTAATACTAAACAGATCCAAATCAATGCGTTGTCTAGATGTTTTGCCACCTATAAACACATGAGCCGTCTCACATTTACATGAAACTGTTAGATTAAATTCTTGTACTCATCATAAGGATTAATCAACACAAAACTAATTATGTTCATTGGTAATTAGCAATGGTGTGGGGACGA